TTTCTTGTATCTTCTACTCTAAAAACGAAAAATTCCATCGATCTTGTTGTTCTTTAGTTTAATTATTTCATCAATTATAATTTTATACTTCCGAATTTCACTATATAAATCGTCAGATTACTACATTTAATCATATGAAACAACTCAACGGTGAACATGTCTAATTACATAAACATGAAAACACAAAATAACGTTAATTCAGTTGTAAATATGTTTTTCAACATTGTTCATTTAAAATTATTATAAATTTAATTATTCATAATAATTAAGATTAATCTGACATATTTTAGTCATCTATTTCCCTCTCTTTACCTTATATGCTTTTAATACTAATTTACCAATATAAAAAAACATTAAATATAAAGTCAATTAAATGGAAATTTAGATTTATAAAACAACCCATGTAGTAGTACAGAAATAACATTCAACTTATCTATCTAATAGTTATCATGGCATATATATATATATAAATATGAATGATTATTACCATTCGACATAATTACTTTATTTGATAATATCACATGTTGAGTTGTATAGAGTAGTACAATGGATAGTACGAATGAAACAAAAACTTTTTTTACAATCCCACCTACATAAAACATTATGATTAGAGTCAATATATCAACAATGAAAAATTTATCTAAAAATTATTATAAAACGAAAATTACCAGCAAATGGAATGGATTTAAAAATCCAGTGAATTAATTTATGTTTATTGAATAATTTAAAAATGAAAAGTAATAACTGGGTTAAAGGTGCCTTTCAGAGGGTATCTAGAATATATATATATATATATATATATACAGTAAATCAATGATCATTAGAGTTCATCGGTTTATCAGATGGCATTAATCCAAAAAAAAAAATTGAAAATAATCCTTTTTATTATGGTCATTATATGATTAATGAAATATAATCTGTCCACTTAACATAATTTTATAAATCGGATTAACTGAAGGTCATACATTTTTGCAGTGATATTTTCTTTTGAAAGTTATCTAGGTACTTTCAAAAACTTATTCATTAAGAGTTTATGAATAGTTCAGTGACCGGAGTTTAAGGTATCATTATCAAAATTTGACTTGATAATTTCATGCAAATCTACTATAAGGTAAATTATTTACCTTAAAAATAATGATACATTTGTAATATCTTAGTGAGTAAACAAAAACAAAATCAAATTTCCAACATTTCGCGAAGTAGTTCAGTTAGTTTATTCACAGAACGAACAAGTAGACGAATTAAATTGAGTATATTCAAACTACTCAGTAAAATCGCAAAATATTGCCTTGGCTAGAGTGAGATGACACACAATTGACCAAATTTGTTTTTTTTAGTGGTATTAAATATCCTTATTTTGTCCTTTGAACTGTTTAAATTATATATATATATATAGTTGACGCTCTTACTGTTCTGATTCCAGTTGCACAGAACTAGGTGATACTAATAAAAGTTAGTCGTAGGTAGAAGTTAGTTCTTTTATGTTCCTTTATAGATCATTGAGTCAGTAATATTCAAGTTCATAGTTTTAATTCACTTGAGAAATAAGTAATTAGTTAACTTCATTTTGAGTCTTCACATCAGATTAATTGGTTAGCCATCAAGATGCAAAACAATAAACTTATTTCTTTGATATTAAATGGTTATTTTAACAAATGATAACGCTTGATTTAATCTTTGATAACATTTTCCATATAAAATTCTTTTTTTTCGGATCATTTAAAATATATAAATACATCTTGTATGCAATCAGTCGTATTAAATAAAATAATAACATTTCTTGTAATTCGTTTAGTAATAGAAGAACTAAATCTTCAAAGAAAAGATTGAAGATCTTTTTATTGAATAGTTAACAAAGAAGTATAAGCACTGAACAATTGGTTGGATTCATTGGAAAGAAATAAAACAACTGGTTATCTATGAAAAATTCAATGAAATGAAAGCTGGTATGAATTACAGATAATCTATGAATTGTACGAAAAGCAATACTATCCTTCTATAAATCTTGTCGAAAATGTTTACTTTTTACTGAAACTGAGAGGACTGAAACAAAAGCATATAAATCATTGAATTTTCCTATCAAAAGACTACTCATCTATAAATCTATGACTTGCATAAATGAACTAATTTAAGCAGTATAAATCCATGAAGCATCATTTATTTGCTCCTATCTTAGAGATAATGTAATTGCGGTTTATTTACTTGTACATGATGCTTGTGATTTAACTGGTTTACAAAAATGAGTTCCAATCTTAAAAATCCGAAAGGATTAGTTTAATTCATTTATCGGAATGTACATGTTGTTCTTCATTTGTAAAGCCTTTACTAATGGAACAATTCTAACTGTGGAACAGTGTCCATAAAAAAGTGATAACCTTATGATCACTAGTGTTTAGTTTGAGTTATGATTATTGATATACTTGCATAACTAATGATAAGTAAAACAATAGATTGAGGTGGCTGGTAAAGCGAATACTCACCCAACGGTGGTCGATTTTATTCATGCTTTAATTGTGACCTTATCCTGTTCAGCTTCTTATGTGATTTCAATAGAAATAAATTATTACCGTACATGTATGAAAAGTATTGTCAATCAATGAAAAAATCCCAACAACTACAGTAATAGATATTAAAGGTTGATTAGTGCTGAAGAAAAATAGAACTTATTATTATTTGAAAGCTAACTAGTTTATCTGATCCATTTGTATTTATAGTACTTCAATAGCAGCATACATGATTTCGACTTCAGGAGATAAATGAGTTTTTAATCAAAAATGAATTTCTACGAGATTCCAAAGATAATAATGATGACGATCCTGATGATGAACAATACCAAGAGAAGCAAGATGTTTGTTTGGTGTTCTTTAAGAAATTTCTTCGACCTATAGAAACTAAACACAGTTAATGATTAGGTCAACTCGCTTACAGAGCATCAGGATCGATACTGTGGATGCCATAGTATAACATTTATTACTGACATCTAACCAGTAGTTCACTTAATATTTATGATGAATACAACTACTTGAAGACATATTATTAGTGAACATATCCGATTCAAATGAAGACAATTGTTTAACCGTGTTTACAAGTGTATTGAGATCTAACGAAAGAAAGTTAGCTTTTATAAATGAGTAAAGTCATGGTTTTTTAATAAAATGCATGTGTCCTCCAACAATAAATGTAAGAAAAATATTTGGAATTAATAATCACCATCACCAACCACTTGATACCGAATTAAATCATTCTATTCTATTCGAATATCCTGGGTGTTTGAAAAGTGGTTTAATTACTACATGAAACTTTAATAAACCTTAACCTACTAAATTTTGGTAAAATGAACTATTTTACACCTCCTACGTTTCCGATAACGAATATTTTTTCAATGATGACATGTAAATATGCTTAGAAAATAAAGTTTGTTACCGTATATTATCGTAATTTTTCCAATTATACCAAACTGCTTATGAAGTGGCCTATTCTTGTGGTCAGCCGATTTTCTATACTTAGGAGTTTTGCAGTTTCTTATCACCAATTAATGTCATCCATTACCATTAGTGAAAGTTGTCTTATTCCAGTGGTCAATATTTTGCACCAGAATTCCAGAAATTATCTCTCGAGGTAATTCATGAATTGATTAAAGTTCGATGTCGTTTTAGATAGTCTGAAGCATAGGCGTTTGCTAAGTGACTAATAGGGTATGAGTTGGATTCTTTATGAGGCAAGTGCACTCTATTGAAAATTTTCATATTAAGACAAAGTAGCTGTCTAGTGCTTTCTGAGCTTTAATGGTTAACTAACCAAAACTAATCTTTGGTGTGAAACCTCGAGAAAAAGAAGATCAACATTTAATTAGAGCATCTACTTCATTGACTACGAAAAAGCATTTGAAAGCGTGGACAGAATAACACTATGGAAACTCCTTCGACACTACGGCGTGTCTCAGAAGAAAGTCAATATCATACAGAGTTCATATGATGGATTACACTGCAAAATCGTGCATGGAGGACAGTTGACAAAGTCGTTCGACGTGAAGACCGGTGTTAGGCAAGGTTGCTTACTCTCACCCTTTCTCTCTCTTCTGGTGATCGACTGGATCATGAAGACGTCAGCGTCTGAAGGGAAACGCGGGATACAATGGACATCTAGGATCCAGTTGGACGATCTAGACTTCGCAGACGATCTGGCCCTTTTATCCCAAATGCAACAACAAATGCAGGAGAAAACGACCAGTGTAGCAGCAGCCTCAGCAGCAGTAGGTCTCAATTTACACAAAGGGAAAAGCAAGATTCTCCGATACAACACAGCATGCACCAATCCAGTCACAATTGACGGAGAAGATTTGGAAGATGTAAAAACCTTTACATATTTGGGCAGCATCATTGATGAACACGGTGGATATGATACAGATGTGAAGGCGCGGATCGGCAAAGCAAGAGCAGCATATTTACAACTGAGAAATATCTGGAACTCAAGCAACTGTCAACCAACACCAAGGTCAGGATTTTCAATACAAATGTCAAGACAGTTCTACTATATGGGACAGAAACCTGGAGAACTACGAAATCCATCATCCAGAATATACAGGTGTTTATTAACAGTTGTCTACGCAAAATACTTCAGATCCGTTGGCCGGACACTATTAGCAACAACCTACTGTGGGAGAGAACAAACCAGATTCCAGTGGAGTAAGAAATCAGGAAGAAGCGCTGGAAGTGGATAGGACGCACATTGAGGAAAGCACCCAACTGCGTCACAAGACAAGCCCTCACATGGAATCCTCAAGGCCGGAGGGGAAGAGGAAGACCAAATAACACATTACGCCGGAAAATGGAAATAGACATGAGAAAAATGAACAAGAATTAGATGGAACTAGAAAAGAAGGCTCAGGACAGAGTGGGTTGGAGAATGCTGGTTGGCGGCTTATGCTGCATTGGGAGTAACAGGCGTAAGTAAGTAATCTATGATCGTTCATTGTAATAGAAAAATTTATCTTTTTTGATTTCCGTATAAATAATTTTATTTATCACTTTTATTAATTATTGACAAGAAAGACATTTATTTATGTTTTGTTTAAGTATACAGACATGATTATATGATTACATAATTATATGATTATATGTTGTTTTTTTTTCAAAAAAATGTTGTTCATCAGTATCAGTTAGACGCATCCCATTGGATTACAAAAGAATCGACGTTCTCTTCCAAGTGTATTATATGGTTTTTGGTTTACACCAGCTCGATTTAATCCATGTATCCATGGTAAATCACCTTGAGATGTCTGATTAAGTAATGAAAGTAAATACAAATAAAGAAAAAAACGAAATAATGTTAAATTAGACAAAATTACGATTGTTTTAATATTAATACAATCTTATAACGCTTGTGTTTTGTTTTACTAATACAGAAAGTAGTAATTTAAAATAGAACTAACATAGAAATTAAACATTAATTTAATCAGGTTTTTCTTCACTATTACTTTCTTCTTGAATAAGTCAATTCTTAAGCATAACAATTAAATGTATCTAACTATACTTAACAATGAATATCTAGATTTATTACATTTTGCAATATCTTTTTTTAACAAGTTATTCATGTCGTGATATTTCATGACATTGATCTACTTGTTACTTTTTTTTCCTTTTTCTTCTTTGTGATTTAATGATAGGTGTGATGGTTTATTCTAGAATTCTGAACTATAGAATTTGTATAGTTCTTTAAGAAATTTCAATAATTGAAATCATGAGTGAATTGAAGCTAGACCACCACGGTAAGCCTGGAAGCAGTGGACGGCCGTTTCGTCCTAGTTTGGGACTCCTCAGCAGTGCTCATCCACGATCTTTAAGAAATGTGACTCTATTGAAAAAAATACATGAATATGATAAATTTTGAAATAAAATAGTAAAACAGAATAGTACGAAACCTAGGTCCAAGGTTTTCTATTGATTACCTCCAACAACCATCTTATCTCAACATAGTGAACGCGATGTCGAGTCACCTAGACTGGTGGCCACATTGCAACTTGGTCGATAGGATTCGATCTGACCTGACATACATGAAAATGTTCACCACTAAGTGATCAATTAATTGTAAAAGAATAGTACTACAACTCTGGTACAGTATGAATTACTCACTAATATTAACAGTGAGGATGAGATTGACATTTTGCCTTATTCCTTAAAAGTACCTATCCACAAGCTAGCCAACGATCGAAATTATAAATTCAGGTTCACGATATCAACGATACAACTGGATAAATAATTTTCAATTGGATGGTCTATATTCCCATTTTCAGTCTTTTGAGTGACAGTCATTCAGTGTCACTGGATGTTTAACAAATGCTGAATGAAAACCGTTGAGTTAAATCATGAACTGACTGAAGTTCGAAGTACAAACCTATGAAAGAAAAGTTATGGGATCCTTAAATCCATATAAAGAAAAGATAGGAATGTATTGCGGAATGAATACGTTTAGCTGTTAAAATTCACTAGAATGTGAATGTTTAAGATGAGAATGATAACTAGTGAAGAATTGTTTTCTACCCAACTTCTTAAATATTCGGTTTATGTAGGCAAGGTTAGAATGGCAATATCATGTGAATATGGTAAATTAACTCCACTCTGTAAATACTGTTGTTTTCACTTTGTGTAAATTTAAGAACAACATTAATTGCATGATACGTAAATAAATTCTGAAATTTACTAATAACTAATCATATATATATATTCTGAACTGCACAGAAATCACTGTTAATTTGCAAGAATTGTCTATGTTTAATAGGATGAATAAATAAGTTACGATACACCAGGTATAAGCAAAGAATAATGGTGTCTAGCAGTGGAAAACAGGATCCGCGTTTTGTCTTGTTGAGGACTCGTTTGATGGATGTGCCTCCTTTCCTTATTCCATTTGAACCCAGTACCGTTTGCGTCAAAAGGTTCTTTGTTATTTACTGAACTGCTTAGTTCAGTTAGCCACTCGTTTATAAAATGATGTGAATTTTAATTCATCTTGTCGATGGGAAAATTAAAACAACCAACACAAGATAAATGATTGGAACAATGATTAGTTTATCCATTACAGGAAGTAAATGTCAGATCAAGTTTTTTAATTAGCACATTCATCCATAATCTGATTTCAAACTTTTATATCCTGTGACCTAATTTAGATTTTCCAATTCATATTTATCTTAATACTTGAGATCATTAGTTCATTGAAGTTAGACCATCATGGAAAACCTAAAAGCACTTGACGAACGTTTCATCCTTGTATGAGACTCAGCAGTGTGAATCCGTGATACCGCCTCGCAAAACTCGAACCCAGGACTTATCGGTCTCGCTCGCAAACGCTTGACATCTGGACCACTGCGCTGGCATCCAACAGTTTTGATGTCTATTTTCAACCAATCTACGAAATTGAGCAACATATTCATCATTGTGTTAAGTGCGTTACTATTTCACAACAGACCCGGTTGAACTCCACTGGTCACTGCTTGTTTATTGCTTTTTTTAATGATTTTCTAGAAAATAACTAGGCTTGTAAATGCTAAAATGGACTTACTGAACTTTGAATATTAATGAAAAAATTGTAAGATATTACTGGAATGTAATTTCATTAGTTATTCGATTTCTATTGACTATTGAAATCAGTGAGTAATATAATTTCACTAATAAATTCAAAGGACAACAGAGGAATTTTGTGGAGATTGTAGTAATTTATCAATTGAATTCATGAGTTAATTGAAGTTAGACCATCATGGAAAACCTGGGAGCACTTGACGGACGTTTCATCTTAATATGGGACTCCTCAGTAGTGCGTATCCACAATTCCGCCGAGCGAGATTTGAGCCAAGGACTTATCAGTTTCGTGCGCACACGCTTAACCTTTAAACCGCTGAGTTGGCCGGCATCCAATAATGTTAATGTCTAACTTCAACCAATCCGGAGTTTACATAATGGTCTAGCTTCAATTGACTCATGAATTTAATTATTATAAGAATAAGATTAAAAAATAAACTGTTTTGAAATCACGAGATGTTTCCACCAAAATAATCAATAAAATTTATTGTTTTTACAATAATGTTTTTAAAGTTTCATTATACCGTTTCTAATCTTCTTACTATTCAGTTTATTCGTTGATCAAATTCAAAACTATCAATTAACTTATAGTCTATGAATTAATATTATTTACAAACACAAATCATTTTTATATTTTCGGCTTAATTATGAATTTTAGTTTCTATGTTATAATGATTTATTATGTATATCAGTTGGAGTGTTAACAAATAGAAATACATCAAAAAAAAACCCATCCAAACTATAACTTTAGCGGTATTGAAGATGTTGAACATCACGAATGAAATGTACTTCCTATCTTATACGAATAATTTATTTTCTCCAAATCGTTAAGGATAGTTAATTTAGTATATTTGAAGTTTACAATAGTATTTAGATAAATTATATCCGTTAATATTAAATGATTTATAAGGGAAACGTAGGTGATAACAATAAGTTAAATAATGTATGAATATGTAATCTCTCTTAGTGTATTTTTCGTAATAATTTATCTTAATATACTATTAGATTGCATACAAACATTTTCAGATCATATGGACCATGCTACCTAAGGTTTTTCATCGTAATTTATATCTTGTTTGTTACATATTGTCATCAGTAAATAATAAGAGTCTTTAATTTTAGATTAGTTTGGATAATTTACGGTAATGTTAAATCAATAAAACTGAAAATATTCATAATTGAATCTTACATAACTGCTTCCGTTCTGTTTCAAAACAGATTAGAGTTCTTTAGTTAGTAAGCAATAATCTATCAGATTGGGCAGGTAAATTATACAAAAGTTGAGTGTTTGATATTCAGTTGATGTAGTTCTTTATCCGAAGAAATCTTTTTTATGTGTTATTTAGACTTTTGAGAAATCTGTTTAGTTAACGTGAATCAATAGGTTACAATGTTAATGAATTACTTTTCAAATTATTATGAACTTCAATATTATCAAAAGATATCATTTGAAGTGATAGACTGTAGAGAATTGAAATTATATTTTTATATGTATACTAATAGATTGATAAAGACTTATCAATAAGGATTATATTACTGGGAATAATAAAACTACTAGGATTATTTATAAGGGATATGAATAATATGAAATTATAATAAATGATAATAAACCAATTAATGATAAAATATACCATGATAAATTAACCGGATATTTTGATGATGAATAGTTAGAAAAAATTTAGAAAGTAATAACTCAGTATGTTGCTGAAGTATGAAGAAAGAACATGTGAGATTCATAGGATAAGAGATAGTCGAAGCTTGAAACTGAGTGCTTCCTCAGAAAATCTTGATTTTTGCATTTGATTTTGATGGTAAATATCAGTAGTATTTAAATTCACTTGGTATTACTTATTTGAATCTTCTAATTGATGTTTAGGATTGTAATTAATTAGTCTGTTATTGGCATATGTGCATAATGTGCGTATTGCCTCGATATTGCCTTAATTCACAAGCATTATAAGCAAAGATGGCTAGTGGCTAGTAGTGGAATCTAGGATGCGCGTTTCGTCTTAGCTAAGTAGATAATGCGATGGCCTTTGAAGCGAACGGTACTGGCTTCAAGTTTCAGAGTGAACATTAACTCTGAGATGCAGATACATCCAACTGACGAGTCCCAAATAGGATAAAATACGTGTACTGGATCCCACTGCTAACCACTATCTATCTTTGCTTATAATCAGTAGTAGTTGTTTTTAAAGAATGAAAGCAAGTACAATCACTCAAAAACCACTAATACAATCTATATTCATCAAATGTGTAACAATAGTGAATGATACAGCTCAAGTTTTGCACTACAAGATTTCCAAATTAAATTTAACCATCTATACTAAGAAGTGAATAATTATTTTGTAGCCAGTAGCTTCAGTGTTATGTCGATTCATATTTCTTTTAGTTTATTAAACATATTGTCACTGAATTTAGATGTTAAGAAATGGCAGATAACTTAAATTTGTGTGGTCAATGAAAAAGATCATATAACTTTTAAAATATTCCTTGTTACCTTAGTAAAGTATTTTACATTCTTCTTATAGTTCATTACTTGTATTTAAATGGATTCATATTATGAAATAGAGTAATTAATTATGGTGTATTGTATTACTAACACAGTTAAAAATAAATTTTCCTTCTTTATGTATCACCACCTAAAGAATTATTAAAAACTAATCTGTGACGACGGACCACGGGTGAACTCAAGGAAGCTGTA